ACGATGATATAACTGTCTGAAGCTGCTGTAGACGGGGAGGGAAATCTGACAGCAGGAAGAATTAAAGCTTTACACTGCCACGAATGTACAAAATATATATGAAGGACTGCTTTCATTACAGTATGTTGAATTAAACTTTACCCAGTGCCAATGGCTTGTCTTGACCCAGTGTTTTTTTTAATAATAGTGTTGGGTTATTTATCCAAAACTGGGTCAAAATAACCAGTTATTTTGTTGTTAGTCAACAAAAGGCTCACGTTGTACCTTAAAACAATTAAAAATGTATCGTTAGTTGTACAAAACAATGTGAATAGGACATTTAAAACTGCAAAGATACACATATTATTCACGATCAGTGACAGAATAGTGACACACTAGTTTTAAAAGAGCTAGTTTACATTTATTTTTGGGTAAATAACCCAACAGGAATATCACTAAACCCCCAAAAAGAAGCTGTTGACTTGGGTGGTTTTCTGCTCATGTGCACTTGATGAAGTCAACCCAGTAATTTTGATCCAATTTTGATCCAGTGATTTTTACTGTGTGTGCAGCCAAATGCATTTCAGAACCACAGAACTTTATTTTAAATTCTAGTAGAGAGCCAAAGTTTTCAAAGATACTGAATTTGTCTGAATTTTAGGGAAGAGCTGGAAGAAGCTGGTACACAATATGATACTGTCAGACAGGGAAGAATAAGAAGAGATTTCCAACCTTAAAGACACTTTATTAAAAGATGAAAACTGCTTGTAAAGTGGTTCGTAGAAGGGCAGCAAGCAAGGAAGATGTCACAGAAATTTCAGATAACTTCTCGGTTTTGATCCACATTTGACAGCAGACTCCTATTTTCTGTGTTAAATATAAGTAAACATGGGGGGAAATTATATAATTCAACATGGACGTATATGTTCCTACAGGATGTTTTTAAGCGTTCTTTCTTTTTGAGCAACTTGAGACTAAAAATAATTCTGTATAACCTGAGGAAGCTCACTCAATACACAGAGATGAAGTTTCCTGCAGGATGATCATTGTGATTGTAAAGAAGACCATGAAGTTGTTACTAATTCAGAAATTTATTTCTTTGTTTTCAAGCACGCTGAGGCTCAAAAATGTGAAATCTAGGAAATAGCAGAAGGAGAGGTAGGCAAACGCAAAACATGGGCCCTGTATAATGTATAAATACATCGATTGTATGTTTCTGTATGTATTTTTACTAATTATTGTTCATAATTTATCTCTGTGATCACAACAATAACAATAAAGTTTCACTTGTTTGTCTTTTTGTTTCTTTCTTTCTTAAAAAATATCTGTATAATCTCAGAAAATGTTAGAAAAAAGGCCTAAAACCTAAAAAAAATAAGTCTTAAACTAACAATTTTTTTTTAAACAACCATCCCTGTGCATTTGATCAGTGTTTCCTAACTATAGCTTTGGCTTGTGACCTCTTAAAACAAAGCAATGTCACCTTATATGAGGTCTAGAGGTTTTTTCCCCCTATTTTTTCAAAAGAAAATAGCACAAAGATTTGAGGAACATCTTTTTGTTTAATAGATTTGTAGATTTTTTTTCTGCTTTCCTATCCTGTTAATAATCCCATGACCCCTCCGATGTAAGAGATAAGAGAGATTTAAGATTTAAGGATGTATCATGGTCCTGATCTCAGGTTGGGAGCCGCTGCATTATATCATTCAACATGTAGTAAAAAAACAATCTTCCCAATGGGAACCCTTTCATGGATCCCAGGTGGTCCCCCCCCCTGTTAAGCGCACCACTGCTGGATGATCCACCCATGTGCACACTGCTGCCCCCTGGTGTCAAAACACAGAGACAACAGCAGGTGACCAACTGATCTAAGTGTGTCTGTGATGGAGTGTCTCCCCCTTGTGGACACTGTTTACTGCTGTTGTCCTCACAAAGAAGCTGGTGTGTGTCTTCGAGGGAAGAGATGCATGTGTGTGCAACCATGAAGAGTGAAACAACAGAATTTCTCTTTTTCTCTTTGATTTTAATAAAGTTTCAGCCTGAATCAGGTCATAGGTCAGGAAATATATGAGGTCAGCCCAGACAGATGAAATAACCTTAAAATACTCTGCTTGGACTTGTTTAGTATCCCTATTTGTCTATTCTGCTGCAATTCAATGGAACCTAAAATGAATCACATCAGAGAGCATCTTTGGTTTTGAAAACATTTTTTTTTTTTTCGTCATTTGTAGCCACATTTATATTCTGAAGAAATCCTGAGAGGTGTAAAATCTGTCACTCCTCCAGAACTGGAACTAGAACTGGTGTTTAAGGTAATAAACATATTTTTCTTTCCCTGCTCCTTTTCTAGCATTAAATATATTGTTTTACTGCAGATTAAAGCTCTGATTTGATAGAAAGAATAAATAAGGAATGAAAGGTTTTCATGTTGTGTCTTTTTGTTTTATGTCCAGGAATAGAAATAAGCAATAAGGTTTTGATTGTGATTTTATCTTTGATTATTGTAACTACTGCTGTGTAGAATTACTGTGTGTTTTAATCATCAAATAGCCTAAATTCAATCAATCAGGTAATCAGATAGATTAGCCTGTTACTTGTTTTGTATGTGTGGGTACAAGAAGACGTATAATGCCATTATTATTGGTTATTGGTTGCATTTGAGGAGGTTGAAGTGTTTCTGTAAAATAAATGTTTTTTAGAAGTTTTGGGAATATGTAAAAAAAAAAAAAAAAAAAAGAAGCTCAAAAATAAAAGGATGTCATTTCTTTAGAGATACTTTAGATTAGAAACCCTGCACACAACATATGGAAGAAGAGTTATATTCTGGCTGGGATAAAAACATTGCAGTAGAGGGAGAAAAACATTGAAATCATTTTCAGACATTTAAACGTAGGAATGTTGTGGTCTCCCTTTTCTTTGGAGGTGAAGAAGGTGAAGTGTGCCAAATCCTCCTCATGGCGCCATGGGGGTGCCACAAGGCCCAGATGTGCAGCACCTCTCTGCTCCCCAGGACGTTTTGCAATGAAAAAAAAACAAGAAACATCTAACACCCTACCTGTCGTTTTCTTTCCCCTTCTAATTCTGGTTCAATTAGCAGGTTTGCTGAGAGAGGCAGAGGCGCACCCATGTGTGCGCAGTGCACTTTGTCAGTGCGCCCGCAGCAGGAGCCCCGGCGGTGAGGAAAGTATAGATCCTTCACAGTTACATGCTGGGATTTTTTAAATGTCAAATGGATATAAATATTATGGAGTCATCTTTCTCTTGCAAATGGCAGTGCCACTTTCTAATAAGGCACCCTTTAACATTTGTAACTAATGGCTTTATTGTAATTCATGAACCATAATGCATTAGACATCAGTTATAAGACATTAATAAGAACAAATGCTTGTTTGCCAGGTTGTGTAAAGTTTCTGTGAAGCATGGTGTTTGTTCTCCTCAGTGGACACTTTGTCTTTTTAGCTCTTTAGTTCATCAGGGAGATCTGCTCAAGGGACCGTTTGACCTTTGACCCTTCGGAAAAGTTACATCAGGTTAAACATTTATGTTACTCTGAACATTAGCAATTTGTTGTAGAAATAAGAAATGAACATCTATGATTAGGAATTACTTACTAACTTCTGATTATTAGAAAGCGATGTACATATGACCCTTATTGATGACTTATTGACATTTCTGGCTGAGGATATGATTACCTTTTATTTTGCTTGATGATTTACCAGCCCAAGAGAGACTCTTTTTTTACAGCCATAACTAAAATGCAATCTAATTAAAGAGCTTATAAACAATAAAACATTAGTAAGTGAATCATCAACCATCACTGAAACCATTAATTCAACCATATAAACCGGGTTGGCATGGGTTTTTTTTAATACAAGAATGCACACCATCAGGTGGACACCTAAAACACCTAAAACATTACCACTGCTTTAAAAATACATTTTCCTGAAGCACAACTGATCAGGCACTACCTTCCCTGTGTGAATTACAGCGCTCTTGCAGCTTTTTGGGGCTCATTTATCTCAGTGTTTCATGAGCTTTGTTTGGATGAATTTCTAACCTCTCCTAACTACCCTGAAATCGCGTCTCGGTGGTTTACAAAATCGCCATCAAAGGCACGTTTGTTCCTCCTCGTCGTCCTTTTTATTGCTTGCGCGTTGCCTACAAGTCACTATTCCGGTGTAAACATGTTATCCCTGCGCTTTCATACCTCTCAAACATCCACCTTCGGCCAGCGAACAAGGGATCAATATGTAAATCAGACTCAGACTTTCACTTGCGATGCCTGCGTCCAGGAGAGGCGATAAGCTTCGGAAAATAAACGGGAGTTAGTTGGGAGGCATAGCCGGGGATTATCCCAAACTTGCCCCGGGGTTTGGCTCTCCTGCGCGCAACCGGACTGGCGTCTGTTCACCGCGGCCGGATAGGAACCTGCAGGGCCCCGGGGCGCAGACTGACAGGCTCCCCGGGGGGGCCCCCCCACAACTCGTTCAGGATGGAGATTATAGGGTGGCAACGCGGCTGGTATCTCTCTGAACACACACACACACATATACGCACACATGGAAAAGAGGTGAGATGATCTCGGAGTGGCCCGCGGCGGCAGCAGCCATGCCCAGCCTCACACGGCTATCACACTCCCCGCAGAACACACTCCCCAACCCCGTGTGATGAGCCGATACAAACCAACTTTGTTCAGCTGACAAAGAGGCAATTGTTAGCTGGAAAGGTCATTTGCCCAAGGGCTCCGGTACAGCAAGTACATCTACAAAAGATAAAAACTGCCCTTCTTTAGTCGTATCTGCACTGAGGGGGCTTTGATAAACCTTCTCCTTGAAATCAACATGCTGATCTGGAATGAAATAAAAAGGCCCCTGGGCTCTAAAAGTGGGTTTATCTGCCAATTCCTTGGACTTCCCCTCAGATTAATCTATTAAAAATGTTTTATTACAAAAGCTAAAATTTCATTAAGGTCTTATGAGTGTGCAAACAAACAGAGACACAGAAGAAGCTCAGATGCAAGATACTTTTGTTCGTTCTTTTAATGTACTTTATTATCTCTCTATATATATACAGCCTGATCTCCGGGTATAAATCATCTCTAATAATGTAAAATCTACATGATATCTTCCACTTTTTTTTGGTACAGCAGGTGTTTTCTACGCACAGGTCAAGACAAGGAAGTACAGCATACACAGACATTTTTAATCTCACAGAAAAGTGCTCATCATCTCGTTGCTTTGACCAGAATACATCCTAAAATCATACATTTTGGTACAGGGGGTGATGTCCAGTCTTCAGTCGGTATATTTACTGATGCTCTGGGTGCGATGCCAGTAAAAAACACAAGATTTGGTGCCATTACAATCAGAAACATGAGTGTGAGGCTCAAAAATGTCAAACAGGATGATGGGAGATGTTCCTTTCAGGGGAAATGTCTTCAGGATAGAAGCAAACAGAACAAAAACGCCTTTTTAACCACTTCCTGTTTCAGTTCCTCCCCCCCTCTTTCTCCTTACGACTGGCTGACAGCAGCAGCGGGGGCGGCGTTGGCGACGGCTGCGGCGGCGCCCATGCGCAGCAGTTCTTTTCTTTGCGTGAGGATGACGTCGAAGCTGGACTGCAGGCGGTTCTGCTGCTCCTGGATGCGGCTCTGCAGGGTGCGGACCCAGCGGATCAGCGCCAAGCGGCGGTACATGGTCAGCTGCACCTGGTGCTTCTCCATCTCCTGGGCTTTGAAGCGCTCGCGGTCTCGCAGCGTCCACACCGCGTCCATCAGCTCTGGCAGCTCGCCGTCCGAGTCAGAGGACCGGTCCTTGTCGTCGTCTTGCTCTTCTGCTCCTTCCTCCACAAGGTTTCCCAGTCTGCCTTCCGTCAGCGACTTGCGGCTGAAGCTTCGGTGTCTCGCGGCCGGTTCTCTGTTGCTGTTTCTGGCTGGGTCGCTCTCCTGCTGGTTGGATTTTGGTTCCCCGACTCCGATGCGGTCCCAGCCTCCCATGAGCACCCCTTCGCCTCCACTGTCCATGTTAAGGGAGGACATGCTGCCACCGGACCGGACGCTAAACTCGGACTCAGAGTCGCTGTCGCCCCATTCGTCATCTTCATTCAGCCTGGCCTCCTCTTCCTCTTCCTCCCTTCCTCTGAAGCCCAAGCTGCTTTTTCTCCTCTGCTGCTGCCCTTTGTCTCTCTGCTTCTCCTCATGCTGGCTCATCATCACCCGTCTCACCTCCTCCTCCATCCTCCCTTCCTCCGCTCCGTCAGGGGGCACCCGGCCGTAACCGTCATCCCCGCTCTCGATTTCGGGCAGGGGCTCCAGGTGGCTCCAGCAGGGCAGGCGGGAGCGCGGCGACAGAAGCCCTGAGTTGTGGTGATACCCAGCAGGCGGCGTGGAGTTGGGCGGGTCGCGACCCAGCGGGCCCAGGTTGCGGGGGCGCACCTGGTTTCGGTTCTCGTCCCCTCCTCCGTTGCCCGTGAAGCCATCGTCATCTTTGCCGGGCAGGAAGTTGAAGTTGCCGTCCTTGTCACACTTCCTGTTGCGCAGCAAGGAGGAGGAGCCGTTGTTGGAGCCTCCTTGACCTCCGTAGGCCGGGTTCAGAGGTTGGTCCTGATGGTGAAGCATCACTGACCTCGACTGAGACTCACTGAAACGACAAGAGACAGAACAAACGCATACCATGAGTTCAGTTTGTGTTTTTTCTTCCTTCTGAGCCGTACAGTGCAAACATCTACTTGAATTGAGCCTTCAAGACACAGAATCCATCACTGAGACGTTCTGGTGGCCTAGTGGTTTAAATGCACCAATGTTTTCCAGTTCGATTCTGGCCTTTGTTGCACTTCTCCCTCCTCCTGCTCCTGTCTCTATCTTTACAGTCACTATCAAATAAAGGCAAAAAAGGTCTCAAAGTATCAAAAACCGTCTCCCCGGCTTGCTCAGATTTGCTCTTGTGTGTTTACTTGTGTTTAGACAAAATAAAAAAAAATGAAGAAGTTGTTTTTTTTGAAAAACGTCCAAAGGTATCACTTTGGTATCTGTACCAGGTAAGTCAGGTACTGTATCTGCGCTAGAATGTAAAAATGTTGCGATCAAAAGCAGCAAGAGAGTTTTTAAAACCTCTTCTGTGTTGAAGTTAGAAGGGAAACTCGTGAGTCATACCAGCAATCCCTTAGCTACCAAATCCACACTGTCCTCCTCCCAGCAGCTCTGTTTTCCTGTTGTTTGTCTCAGCAATTTGATTTCCAGACAAAACAGAGCCTGTTAATTCAGCGCTCTTGCGATGATGAACTCTCCAATCTTGGATAATCTAAGTTCTCAAAACAAGCCAGGCTTCTAACTGCGTCATCAGCCAACGATAAGGTGGCTTTGACTGACTTAATGTCGCAGATTTTACAATCTCTGCAAGTTGATTTCGAGCACAAACACGAGTCAAAACCAGCAGCTGCACAGAAGATACGTAAACATCAGCAGCCTATACAGCTGCGGCACACTTCATTTGTAGGCTAAAAGAGAAGGTTTAAAGCAAGAAAAAAAAACAAGTGGACGAACATGGATGAGCCAAAGCGACATTAAAACTGAAGAAAATTCAACCTAGTTCACCAACTCCACCCTAACCCCAAAACACCCCTCAAACTCCTTGTTTATAATGTCTACAACTACAGGCTGCTCTGCACACTCCACTTCTATTAGCATCAAATATTTACATGTCTCCTCAGAATGGAAATTTCTCTAATCCTGACTTCAGGCTGCTGTCAATCAATCCCCCATCTCCTCTCTCCTCTCCTCCCCTATGCGCGCGTTCACGTGGTGCTGAAGGACAGCGACCGTGGCTATGTCGGGAGCGCGCGTGTGCAGCA